AGGATACAATACCTTTCCAAGCCGCAGCAATCTGCGAAAAAAATGTGCTCCCAATAAATTCAGTGGAATTGGGTAAAAATCTGCGATATTTGTAGCCGCCTGATCCATCATCGGTCATTGACGGATGTACAATGAAACTCCAGGAAGCGATAGCACAAAACGAAAGCAGTGCACCCACGATCGCTCATGTTTTTTTTCTCTTTTTTTTATTTGATATCAATCGGAACAAACCAATTTTTGGCCATTGTACACCAAGTGCAAAACTATCATGCAAGACGTGTTCGTTTGATGGATCTCTTAGTACAGTTTTGTAATATGGACGCTTAATTAAGCGCGTCTGTTCTTTCTTGGTTTTTTTTAGGAGAAATCATCAAAATATAATGCATTGAAAAGTTCAATAAGCATTCAGAAATTATTAAATTTTAGATTGTTTGGAAATTTTATGTAAGGGAAATTATATTAATAATACTCAGATAGCCAGATGTTAACAATGTTCGCAGATTGCCAGCAAATTTGATCAAATTTACTGGCAATCTACTAACATTGCTAACATTTTGTTTACTGAGTAATTATATTGCAAATAATTTAGATGATAATTTTATTTATCTTGTTTTAAAAGCGAATCTAAGAATTATACATTATTTATAAGAGAAAATATCATTCAATCTTAAAAGTATCTATAACGAAATGCCGATTTATGACGCTCATCCTAAATTATTGGCTATATCACGAATATTTCAAAGATTTTGAAAATATCAAACGATGAGATTTCGGTATTAATTGATCAGTAGAAATTTGCAATGTGTGATTACAATCTTTGAGTTAACAATCACATGCCTTCGTTCTATTTAATACAAGAAACGTAAGTTATTTTTGACACATGAATGTCGATAACTGTATCTTGTTGTTGTGACTTACGTCGCTCGAAGTAAGACGGATCGGGAATTTTCCGCAAAGAAAAATTGAGGTAACTTCGAAGGTCGATCGATCCATCATCAGATTGACATAAATTCCGCTTTTAAATGCGCACACGAGAAGAGGAGAGCAGCGTCGCAGGATTCTAGAAATCCTTTGGAACTTCTTTTGACTCCATCGACCACGGAAGTCGGTCAGCCTGTTGTCTGACCAGATTGACGGGTCTCGGAAACAATAATGCAAAAGGGAAGGGTGCAACCGTCCGTGCACGATATTCGGTAGTTTAAAAAATTAGACAAATACATATGCACATTTTAGATTGAATGATCTATAGTTTGCAGCATTTTCAGATATCTAAAAAATTAATATTTCTATATTGTCGTACTTTTTCGCAAAGAAAATTTATTTTACGAGTACACAGAGACAATTTTATATAAAAAATTACTATATACAATATATATTGCCGCGGACTGAAGGAATTATAAAAATTTTTACTACGTTTTTCACGTAATGGCCGTGGTATTTAATAATTCCTCTTATGGTCCGCGGCTACTGTCGTGTATCATAGTAATTTTTGATATAAAATATTATATACATATGTCAAATTATTATATACATATATATACAACGAGATAATTCTATTTAGAATTATTAACAAGTTAACTAGTCTTAAAAATCTTAAGTCACAGATAATCACAGTCGCTCGCAAAGAAATAATAATTAGAAAGAATTCTAGAGAAAGACGGTTTCTACATATTTGTGGCTTAATGCGGGAACAAACAATGTCACAATTTGATCCAAATGAGATATGTTGTGTAATAAGCTCTAACAAGTACAGTCTTTCATAGAAGAATAAAATTTTTAGTTAAAAATAAAATGATTGCAACTAAAATGTTTTTGGTAAAGATTCTCATTCTCTTATAAAAGATCGTACTTCTTTGAACTTATTACGCGATAGATCTTACTTTGACCAAAAGACCTCTCATAAGCTGGCAGGACCAAATTAGCAGAATCGAATGCGACTTATCGGAAAATTTAGTACTCATTTTGTACTATTTTGTACCACAAAAATAATTTTGTACCCCGTGCCATTTAAGAAAAAATCGTGGCGCTGCCAACTTCATATTAAGCTAGCAAAACCAAAAAAAAAAATATATATATATATAAATAAAAAATACAACGTATACAGTTAGCGCTGAATTTGTACTAATTTGTACCACCCAAAAAAAGTCAAAATATTTCCATTAACCCCTTAAAACAACCCTTATTTCGTCTATCCTAGAAAATAGGACATTTCTCTTCCGATCTTTTAAGAATTTAACCAGCAAAATTGAACTAAATTTATCTTATTACTTACCACTTGTCATGTACTATTTTGTACCACCAGAAAGAATTTTGTATCCCGTGTTATTTGAAAAAAATCATGGTCCTGCCAACATGATGTGGAACTAACCAATAAAATTATTAAAAAATAACAAATAACGATAGATTTTATTAGTACTGAATTTGTACTAATTTGTACCACCCAAAAAAACTCAAAATATTTTCATCAACCCCTAAAACAACCCTTATTTCGTCTATTCTAGAAAATAGGACATTTCTCTTCCGATCTTTTAAGAATTTAACTAGCAAAATTAAACTAAATTTATCTTATTACTTACCACTTGTTATGTACTATTTTGTACCACCAGAAAGAATTTTGTACCCCGTGTTATTTAAAAAAAATCATGGTTCTGCCAACATGATGTGGAACTAACCGAAT